GACCCCTTATCCCCCAAATGCACCAAGGGCCCCCATATTCCACCCCTGAGTTGACCGCCCCCCCACCCTTCCTGCAGGACTCCCATCCGGTTATCTAGACACCCACCCGCGTCTCTTCCCTGTCCTGCTCCCTCGCGCTCGCCTGACTCTCCACCCCCGCCCCCACCCCGTCTCTCCCCAGGCGCCCCCATGGCCCGACCCCGCTGATTCCTTCACTCGGCCATGCTCCCGCGGCCCCTGCGGCTGCTTTTGGACACGAGCCCCCCCGGGGGAGTCGTGCTGAGCAGCTTCCGAAGCCGAGACCCGGAACAGGGTGGGGACCCAGGTGGCCGGGTCGTGGGCGGGGGGCAGGAGGAAGAGGAGGAGGAGGAAGAAGAAGAGGTGAGACGCGGGTGGTGGGAGGTAGGGGGCGTAGACATTTCGGAGACTCTCCACCTTTCTCTCGGTGTCTCTGGGTCTCTACGTCTCTTCCGCCCTGCCTCAGTTATTTCCGCGCCTCTCGCTGGGTATCTGCCTGTCTCCCTACTGCGGGGAGCCCTAGCAGGTCTCTGTGGTTCTGTGTGTGAGTGACTTAGGACCTGCCCTGTTTCTTGCCCGGAATGTCTCGCTGTTCCTGCGGGTCTCTGGCCCTCTCTGCCTAGGCCTGCCTGAGTGTGCCTGCTTCTCTGGGCAGTTGTGTCTTGGTCCCTGTCTCCCTCCTTGTTTTTGTTTGGCGGGGAGGGGTTTGTTTCCACAGTAACCAGCTCCTCTGACTCTGGGATTGGGGAGCGAACCCTCAGATTTCGTGGCCCCTCCCTCGTCCCTCATCCCTCCCCCCCCCTCCCCGCCCCGGTACTGGTTAGAGGCTGGGAAGCCAAGATTCTGGGACCTGGAGGGACGATCCTACGCTGGGAAGAGGGTGGTCACTTGCTTTCCTTGGGGACTAATGGTGGTGATCAGTAGCAGGATTTGGGGCCTCAGGAGGGGCCAGAAGTTGGATTTGGGGCCTGGAGGCCCTGGACTCCTGGGTCCAGACACTGGGTGAGGGCAGGGTGACTGGCAGGGCTGGTTTTTCGGGATTGATAGGGGGAGGGGCTAGGGCCTCGTGACTCTCTGAGTCTACCCTCCTCCCCCCCATCATCTCCACTTCCCCTTTTCCTTCCTGTACTGGGTTTGGAGCCGCCACCTTCAGGGGGGTCCCCAGGGCTGAGATAGTGGAGGCCCCACCCAGGGGACCAAGAGGAAAGGGGGCCTGAGGGAAGGACTGATTCTTTGGGTTTGTCCCGTCCTTGGTGGGGGAGGGCGGGGCATGTGCCTGTGCCTGTGACAGGTTTCAGCTTCTTCAAGTTGCTGCCTCTGGCTTTCCACTTCTCTCGCTTCCCTCTCCTGCCCTTTGCACCCTACTTCTCTGCTGTGCTGGGGTTCAGCTCTGGGGGCAAGGGGCTTCGGGGGTCTCCAGGATCAGGGTTCCTGCACTCAATCCACCCCCCCACTGCAACCCCCTAGACTCCACTGGGCCCTGAGGCGGCTGGGGGGGGGCTGTCTGGGCCCCAGTGGGGGAGACCTGGGGTCACCAGCCCCCCCCACCCCTCGCACTCGCTGGTACTATCCCCCACCACCACAGGTGAGGGGTGTAGAGGGAGGAGCAGAGCCTGGGGTATGAGGGCTGAGGGCAATGGTGGGAGGTGGTGTGGAACTCTCTGACTTCTTCCTTGCTCCTCTAGGCCCCTGTGTCAGTCTGGGATGAGGAAGAGGATGGTGCCACCTTTACTGTCACAAGCCGCCAGTATCGGCCTCTTGATCCCTTGGTGAGATGTTGACTTTGGCTTATCACCTCTGACCCATTACCTCCCAGTTTCTTTTCCTTTTGCTGACTTTCTGGCCAGAGTGCTAGGTTGGAGGTTTAGAGTCCTGGATTCTGCTGTGTGACTTAGGCCAAGTCTTTTGCCCTCTCTGGATCTCAACAAAATCAGCCTGAAATATCTCCAAGGTCTGGGATTGTCCCCAGAGATCTAGAAACAGAGTTGGAGAAAAGGTCAGTGACTGGCCCTCTATATCTTCCAGGCTCCCACTCCTCCCCCACGTTCCACCCGACGGCTCCGAGCTGGCACTCTGGAGGCGCTGGTTAGACACCTGCTGGACACCCGGACATCAGGGGCTGATGTGACCTTCACATCAGCCTTCCTGGCCACTCACCAGGCTTTCACCTCCACACCTGCCCTGCTTGGGCTTGTGGTTGACAGGTCAGGGTCATAAGGGACCAAGGGTCATGGAGGTGTCTGGACTTCCTAAAGCCTGAACATCCCACCAAAATAGTTTAAACCACTGGGAGTTTGGGAAAAATGGACAGACAGATTCTCTTCTCCTCCCCAGGCTGGAAGCCCTTGAATCTCATCCTGCTGATGAACTAGAGAGGACAACAGGGTGAGTGATCCCGGATTCTTAACCTCATAGCCCTCTCTGCCAAAGCTGCAGCCTGACTTCTGACCCTTGGCTGATTCCTCTTCTCCCAGTGTAGCCATCTTTGTACTGTCAACCTGGCTGACCTCTCACCCCAAGGATTTTGGCTCTGAGGTCAAGGGTCAGCTTGACCGTCTTGAGAGCTTCTTGCTTCGGACAGGGTATGCAGCAGGGGAGGGTGTTGGGGGGGACAGCGCTGACCTCATCCGCAACCTCCGGTCCCGGGTCGACTCCCAGGCCCTTGACCTTCCTAAGCCCCTGGCCCTCCCCGGCGATACCCCTGCTGACCCCACGGATGTACTGGTGTTCCTCGCTGACCACTTGGCCGAACAGCTGACCCTGCTAGATGCGGTGAGATCCTGACCTCTGACCTCAGTGCCCCCTGACCCCTTACTAACCTCTCCTTGACTCGAGCCTTTCCTTGTTTCCAACCTTTCCTGATCCAATTCCTAGCCTTCTCCACCTACCATTTTGACCTTTCCCCTTTTCCCTTTGGTGGTTATCCTTCAAACCCTGTGTCCTTCTGTTTCCTTGGCCACTTGAGATCCTCAGATCCCTGATAGTGGAAGGCTGATCTCACTTGACTATGAACTTTAACCTCTGACCTCCACCCTGCAGGAGCTGTTTCTCAATTTGGTCCCCTCTCAGTGCCTGGGGGCCCTGTGGGGTCACAGAGACCGGCCAGGACATTCCCACCTCTGCCCATCTGTCCGAGCTACTATAACACAGTTCAACAAGGTGGCAGGGGCAGTGGTTAGCTCTGTCCTGGGAGCCACTTCAACTGGAGAGGGGCCTGGGGAGGTGACCATACGGCCACTTCGTCCACCCCAGAGGGCCCGGCTCCTGGAGAAGTGGATCCGTGTGGCAGAGGTAAGAGATGGTTGCCCTATTGGGGACCATGGTGTGGAGAGGGGTCCCACAGCCTTGGCTTCTCTCTTTGACTCCCATAGGAGTGCCGACTGCTCCGAAACTTCTCTTCAGTTTATGCTGTTGTATCGGCTCTGCAGTCTAGCCCCATCCACAGGCTTCGGGCATCCTGGGGGGAAGCAGCCAGGTGGGGAGGACAAGGCATCAGATGGGGGGTAGGGGTCCCTCAGAGGGCTGGGAAGAGGGGGTGGCCAAACCAAGCCTATCCTCACAGCCACTGTTTTCCCTCCCCCAGGGATACCCTCAGAGTCTTTTCTAGCCTCTGCCAGATTTTCTCCGAGGAGGATAATTATTCCCAGAGCCGGGAGCTACTCTTGCAGGTAAGGCCCTGTTTTCTGGCATTCACAACCATCTCTGCTTCCTATTCCTCCATATCTCCTTGTTTTGTCACCACCAGGAGGTGAAGCTGCAGCCCCCTCTGGAGCCGCACTCCAAGAAGGCCCTGAGGTCTGGCTCCCGGGGTGGGGTGAGTGACTAGTGGTGGATGGTTGTGGAGTAAGGAGTGGGTGTGGGGGGAGCAGTCTGAGGGATAGCAAGGGGAGGCACACCAGGGTGAGGAGAATGAAATTTGTCTTCTGAGGCAATGGGGAGAATAGTGTGGAGGAATGGAGGGCCCTCAGATCAGTGGCAGCAGCATCTGACCCTGATCCCTGACCTCAGGGTGTGGTCCCATACCTTGGCACCTTCCTGAAGGACCTGGTGATGCTGGATGCAGCCTCCAAGGATGAGCTGGAGGTCAGTGGTGTGTAC